TGTCATTCTAAGCTAATCCATCAGACAGCTAGGAGAAATCCCTGAAAACTCTTAAAAAATGAATTAACCTTTATGAAAACATCTGAAATTCTTGACTACGGCTACAGGTGGGCCTCAGTAACGGCATGAATTCTCCGAGGGGTAATTAAAGCCAAGAGTTTTCCTAGCAAAGAACGTACCACGGTGGTACTGATTTGGGCTGCCAAAAAGGATTTTTCCTAGGTGTTTTTTGTTCTAACTACGTAAAGGGATAGGTACCTGGAGTTGAAGCATTAACACTTTAATAATTCCAGTAGGTGATGTTTTGATGTGGAATACTGAAAACCAAAGAACATGAAACCGTGCCATACGTAATACAAGTTGAGGGGGAAAACAATTGCTATTGCAAATGTACACCTGGAATTCAGCTCTGTGGGATGCCGACTAGTAAGTTCTTAAGGATAAGGCCATTAATTGTCTTTTATCAGGTTGATAATTGCATGATCTTAGAATGGAGCAACTTCTTCCTGCAGCTCTTCTAAATAAAACCTCTGAGGTGACCCCCTATCTCACCCTCAGTAAGAGAAGAGGGTTCAGCGACTTTAGGTACGTACTTGTTTGATGACCTTATGTTATGTTTTCAGACTTCTGATAAAAACAAAATAGAAAGGCTGTCAGACGGGCTGGCTCCAGAGCTGCCTTCCCCAGCAGTAGCAACTAGCGAGCTTATTTCAATTCCCTGGAAGTTACTTTCTTATGCTTTGTTGGGATCTCATCTATTGGGAAATACAGTTAGATAAGTGGCTGTGCCCAACTTCCCTGAGGCCAGCTCAACTAGGTGTTTTCAATGGCTTCTACTCTAAGCCATACAAGTTGTTTCGTTCCTTTCGTTTCCTACTTCTTATGCTGCTTTCGCTTCTGTCAAGTAAATAAGGATCCAAGTCGAGAACCACTCAAGCAGAGAAAGAAGTGAAAAAAAGACTACTATTAAAGACTACCATTGTTGTTTTGCAGTTTATTTTTAAATAAAAAAACACTGCTGTTACTTGCATGCATGGCAGACGCTCGGGGGGAGGGAAGTTGATGTGGAGGTGAGGCTACTATGCCCACGTGAGGCTAGTTGCCTCACACGGTGGGTGAGGAGAGATCAGTATTCAGTATCAAAGATAGCACGAAGGTAAGACATTCCAAAAAGCTCAGTCATCCCACTCCTTGTCACTAGGCCCACGTCAATTAAGGACTTGCGCTCTTATTTCTGGTTTGTCATAGAAGTTAAACCTATCAAGAAGGACATCCTTCTATTCGCTGATGGAAAAGCGCTCTTACTCGTGCAAATTGCAATGCAAAGGCAAAATCCATCCAAGTGCTGTTTTATTCCCTTTGTTAGAAAGGAAAATCCAGAATAAGATTCGTTTTTGTTCTTTGTGTTACCATTTGGCCTCACTTTAGGGCGAAGGGTCACAGGAACTAACTGAGTTGCAAGGATTTGACACAGAGGCTTCTGAGAAGCACTATTTGAAGTTATCTAGCTGGAACCAAAAGGTAAATTGTAGGGAACTATACTTAAATACAACCAGAATTATTTTTTTTTGTGCAACAGTCAATACCGCTCTGCTCTCAGGATAGCACGCTTGCCTTTAAGCTGGAGAAGCTCTACCAAGTTGAAGAGATGCTGCTATTCAGAGATTCAGCTTTAACAATACAAACACTAGAAAGTGTTTTCAGTTGGTGAGTAAAGCAATTCTGTTGAATTATATTTCTACTAATTATCTACTGCAAAACTACTTGTTTTTTTATTAAGCCCTGCTTGAATCTCTTACAGAACATCCAACGCAAAACAGCCAATTACAGTAGCGGTAGCTTTTCCTCTTCATTCTAGTTTCCAGAGCTAAGTAAGCTAATGCCAGCAGCCAAGGAAACAAGGCCAGACTGCAGCACATCCCTCTGTTTGTGGTGAGTGAGGACTTTCTTTGTTTTAAGTTAAGTTGAAGACAGACGGATATTCTTTAAAACACTTCAGCTAGCTAAGCCGAGTCATTCCATTCTAGGATAGATATTTTTACACATACTTATTGCTATATGCCTTTCATATACACAGTCTTTTCAAAAAACTGCACCAAGCTGATAATTTTTAGTAAAATGCATCGTCACCTGCTTCCAATAGCAAGCAGAGTTGCAACTGGAATTTTTGGGGCATACCTGGAAAGGAGAACTGAGTTACCTATGAGTCCTCCTACATAGTTTTGCTTAATCTAGAAGGTAAATAAAGTGAAAGACACATCTCTTCTAAGCATGACCTAAATCTTTACTACTCCCGTTTTAAAATCCAAAACTGGCCAAGTTGTCTGCCCACCAATTAAACATTATTTGAGGTGCTGTCTTAAATACACTAAAATAAAATCTTATCCCCAAGGAAAGAATTTTCTAGGAAAGTAAAGACTGCTTTGGTCTTACTCTAGATCTCTCAGAAAGGATTCCTGAACATTTCCATTTTTTTGTGTG